ACCCTACTCCTCCTCTTCACCTTGTCTTCCGTACTAACTAACAACAAACAGAAAATGCACCAACATACATCCTACAATAAATATACTTTGTATATCAGATGATTGTTTCTCGAGTAGCAAATAGAAATGGTTTTATGGCCCCTCTCTCTCACCGTAGTTGGACAAAGACCATGTGCTAGAGCTGAGGATCTGGCATTCACTTGCTCTAGTTTTCACTGTATTGTATTTCGATGCTATGGATGCAACTTCTAGTTCTGTAAAGTTGTGTGTATTTATTAAACATGCATTATATTAAATTTGAACTGAAGCTTAAAATCATTATAGAACTGATATAGATGTACTTATTTCATGCTTCATTCATCAGATGAATGTGCTTATTAAAACACAGTATGTTATTTACTTTACTTTAAGCATATTTTATCAATTGACTTTCATGGCTGATTTATACGTCCAAACTAGTAATACATTAAGATTAGGGATTTAATTTTTTTTTCACAGCAGCAATGAAATGCTGCATTTCAAGGATTAGACAAGGTTATAGTCAGTGCATGAAAAATATATAAACTTGTTTCTCATGTAAAATGAAAACAAATTTCAACACATATTTTCATGAATTAATTATGGAGAAAGACTACAGTATGGATTTCCCACGAGTATTGGAATCTTAATTGTATGATTATGATTGGAAGATTAATTGCATGCATTCACTGAGAGTTGTGCAGGTGTCGCAGTGCACCAGCAGGTTCATAGTACAGGATTGTGACCCACTAAGTGCCTAGCCTTGCCTTAGGCCCGGATGTATTGTCACAAAATGACTGGCCTGAATTTTTAAAGCTTACTCTGAATGGTTTGTTTTTTCTTGAGGGTCCATTGTTTACTTCTCACCATAGCAACGTGGGAAATAATTACTATTCTGGAACTTAAAAACCTAGGAGGACAATTATGTATTTTGAGCACAATGCAGCTTAAGCTGTCAGGAAACCATATATATTGAATTATGATGCTAAAGGTAACAATTTAATGGGAAAAAAGAGATAATTCTGACAACTTCCATAGTAGAGCAAATTATTTGTTAAACATTTCCCACAGCTACAGAAAAATTCACAACCCCCTTAAAGCCTAGCTAGAAATCAGAGTTTATTCCTGTATTGTATGCCCCTTGTTTTAAGTTAAAACATACAATTTTAATCATCAGTCTAGTCATAATTAATTTCTGTTTTAACCAAAAAAAGAGGTATAAAATAGAGCTGTGGAAAAGAATGAGCCTATTCTAAGATCACTTGTTCTCTTGCAGCCAATACATAGATCAAGGACAACAAACTGAGCCAATATACTGAATGCAACGAGTGAAATGTAACTCTTTCTTTAGTATGGCTGCTATTTTGCACCATATGGAAGCTCCTAATTAGGGTGATCTGATTTCATGGTTGACTAGAACTGGAAAAATAACTTGGAAGAATTATTCACAAATATTTACTTGAACAAAAATTGGACTGGAACTTTACTTTTGTGGTTTGCCCAATCCGTGAGGGATCTAGAGACGTGAAAAAATACAGGTTAAATACTTTTGACCTTCAAAAGCAGTTTTAGTCTGGATTCAGTTTAATTCTTGGTCAACAATTTGATTCAGTTTTTATTCTACTCCATTGTTTGTCCATGTCTATTCTTATTAAGTTTTTATTATAACTGCTCAGGGGCCTGAGATATAAAATTCAGGTCTGGATGTCAACAGTCCTCATCCAAACTTCAACGGTATTCATATTCAGGGTTTTGCACATTACTTGTTCATCTATAATGTGAAATTTAGACCCATGTTTGGGTCAGGATTTTATATACCCTATAGTCATGGGGTATATACATTGGATTTGGGTTTCCAGCTCATTCCATTTCTAGCTAATCTCTCTATATATTTAGAGAGTTTGTGCATCTGTCTGTCTGTGAGTGTATCCATCTGGGAATCTGTTTGTTCAAGAACTCCTCCTAAACGATAACAACTAAGACCACCACATTTGAACCAAGGTCAGGGTTTGGTTGTGCCAGGAAAACGAGATTGTTTTCCATAACATGGAACAGGAGGGAGCTGATTGAAAGAAGAGCTATATGTAGAGTGAGCACTCGGGCAGCAAGGGTGGGGGACAGCCATACTGCAGGGTGACCACAGAGGGCAGATGCCCCAGCAGGAGAGTGGCCAAGTGGGGACGGGGCTTTCCACATGACCAGCTACTGGACTGGGTAAAAGACCTTCTGTCCCAAACAATGCCAGATGTGGGCGGGGGGAGGGGGGAAGAGAGGGAAGCCCACCCATCTCCCAGCCATGCCATGACTCCCCGGGACCACCCCTAGGCCAGGCAGCAAAGCCCACCCCCACAAGAAATGCTCCCCTCTCCCCAAGCAGAGGCCAGGCCTGGGAACTGTGGCCTTGCCCTGAATCAGATTCAGGCTTGGGAGGGGGCACCGCTGAACCCCGCCCCCC